CAAGACTGCTACGAATGGGTGCTTGAAAAAAATGCAACCATGATCCAGGCCTGCCTGCCGGAGCAAAAATCGCCTAGAGTGTATGGACCTTCTTTAAGAAGCTAACATTGCGTCATCCTGATCTTCCTTTAGTATCGTCCGATTATGGAATCACCTGGTATGAGTAGTTGGTCATTCATTTTACACTTGTTGCCGGGATGTGTATGCCCATCTGGCTTAAAGTTAAGGATAAGCAACCAGCACATCCTTTCGACTTTTCGTCTCCAGAGGTTTCGGTGCAGAAACCTGAAGTCCGTAGTTTGTGGCATCAAGGTACAAATGTTCGCAATGTTGTTCAATATCTTGAAAAGCACTTCCAAAATGCATGTATACCCTCGTTACCCCAAATGGTGCGACTGGGCTATCATCGTAGCCTTGTGGGGGTATCGCATCTCGACCAAACCTTCCTCAACGGGAGCAAGCCATGCAAATGTTGAAAGATTACGCCTCTCTTCCGGGACAACCGTATCCATTAAATGTGCGCCTTCCGTTTATACCAAATCTAAACTGCTCTATGATGGAGGAGACCATGCCTCCGGAATGACCGTTCATGAAAAGGCACAACTTGTATCAGCGAGTTAAGAAGTGCCGTATGTTCAAACGCCTCTCGATTCGATAAGTCTTGATCTGGGAATTAGGAATTGGTTCGCATCTTCGCGTCTGGGGATAAACCGGTTTTCCACATGTGACGTGGTGTGTGCATGTTACATAGGTTGGTGTGAAGTCTATCCTCCGGTACCCCCCCCAATGGGCAAAAACAGGATCGCTGCATCTATCCTCGGTGCATGAGGACTGTGTGTGGTGCTTGGGAAAAAAAAACGTGTTCTTAGCCAGAAAACGTTGGGACGGTCGTCGGCGAGTTGATCTTCGAGATTCGGTCGGAAGTCCCAGAAAGTCACATCTTACGTGACCGTTCCGTCCACGTTCCGTCCACGTCAACGGGGAAAAAAAGTTGAAAAACCAGCTTTTTGCAGCACCTTAAAACACATATAGGTGCTGGGAACTGAGCGCGATGCCCAAAAAAAGAAACCAAGGGTGGTGTGAAAAGGACAGCGCGGGCAACTCGGCCTGCTATTTCGCGACCAGCCGGCCGGCCGGCTGGCCAAATAGCGGCCGGCCGGCCAAGTAGTAGTAGTCGTCGTCGTCGTCGTGGTGGTGGTGGTGGTACTAGTAGTAGTAGTAGTAGTAGTAGTAGTAGTAGTAGTAGTAGCAGGAGTAGTAGTAGGAGTAGTAGTAGTAGTAGTATAGTACTACTACTACTACTACTACTACTACTACTACTACTAGACTAGTAGTAGTACTAGACTAGTAGTAGTACTAGACTAGTAGTAGTAGTAGTAGTAGCAGTAGTAGTAGTAGTAGTGGTAGTAGTAGTAGTCGTCGTCGTAGTAGTAGCAGTAGTAGTAGTCGTCGTCGTGGTGGTAGTAAGTAGTAGTAGTACTAGTAGTAGTACTAGTAGTAGTAGTAGTAGTAGTCGTAGTAGTAGTAGTAGT